ACACACACACACACACACACACACACACACACACACACACACACACACACCATATCATTAGATTAAAGCCTTTGAGTTTCTGTGACCTCCTCCCCCATCTGTTAGATGGCCAGCGGCCACTAATGAGGATATTCCCCAGGGAAAGAGCCCATCTGCAAAATCTTTACCACCAAGTCTTAGGCTGGTGGATTAAGACAGACAGGGTAAGAACCCTGTGTGGCTTGGGGGACTTTAGGCTGTGTACCGCACCACTGGTCCCTGCTCCCCGGCAGCTCTGGGAGGAAGCCTGTAGGCCGTGGCTGAGCCTGCAGTCGGAAAGAGGGGATGTCACAGATGACCCAGGGCACCTCTCTCACGTTACACAGGAGGAGCTTTCATCCTCCTGGAGCTGGCAAAGGAACACTGGAACCCAACGCCTAGTTGTCTGTATCACAGATCAGGTTCTCATTACTGCCTGAGCAGCACAGGCTCACAGCCCTGTGGGCAGAGCCCCAGAGACAAGTCCCTAGGGCTCCACAGGCCAGGTCTTTAAAGGGGACTCATCCTTGGCTTCCGTAGTAGCTCTTTGGAGAGGTGGCCAGGCCCCAAGGCAAATTGTACCTCCTGAATAATTTGATCTGGTGAGCCCCCAGAGCATATGATGTTGGTTCCAGCAAGGACAATTAGAAAGGGCTTCCAGGTGAAGAGTCAAAACATATTTTTTTTAACCAATTTATTTTATTTTATGTGTGTTTGGTGTTTTGCCTGCATGTCTGTCTGTGTGAAGGTGACAGATCCCCTGGAACTGGAGCTACAGACAGTTCCGAGCTGCTGTGTGGGTGCCGGGAATCGAACCTGGGTCCTCTGGAAGAGTAGCCTGTGGTCTTAACTGCTGAGCCATCTCTCGAGCCCCTTACCATAATTTTTTAAAAGGTTTCATCTTTAATTATGTGTGTGCGTGCATGTCTGTGTGGTTATTTGCATGTAAGTGCAGCTGTCCTTACAGGCCAGAGGTGTTGGATACCCACCAGAGGTAGAATTACAGAGAGTTGTGAGCCAGCTGCCATGAGTGCTGGGAACCGAACTCAAGTCCTCTGCGAGAGCAGTATGGGCTCTTAACCACTGAGCCATCTCTGAAGAGAGCTGTGTCCAGAGCACCATTATACCACATTTTAAACTGTTGTGGTACCCAGTGTTAGGAGAGTGGGTTATATGGGGAGACCTCTTGATGTATGAGCCGATTAGCCGGCTGGGATAAGACGGAGCTGATGGCATCTGTGAAACACTGTGGAAAAGCATCTCACCCACGTCTCCAGCCACCCCCCCCAGCCCCTCCCTGGGATGCTAGCTCAGGCTCCAGCCCACAGTAACCAAGCTCAGAGGACCAAGGACAGGCCGAGGTCCTCTGAGCTTGGCAGAGGGTATGCCAACCACCTGCGTCCTCCCTGCAGGGCTATGACTCCTTGGTGCAGAACCCGCCTGGCCAGCTGCAGAGCCACAGGGCTCGGCTCCACCAGCAGATCAGCAAGGAGCTGCGGATGAGGACTGGTGCTGAAAACCTCTACAGGTGAGCCCCCGCTACCCGCCTGGCCCCGGACTGGGTAGCGATCCTGTCATCAGTCAGAAAGAGGGACACATGGGCCCCGACATGGCTGCCGCTCAGGTTCTAGTAGCCTTACTATATACTTCATTGTTCAGCCTAGACATTCACAGGCAAACCAGGCCCCTTCCCACCTCTGGGCCTTCCCATATATGCTTGGCCAGAGGACCAAAAGCCTCTTTAGGAGGCCCGACAGTATCTAGTGAACCTCAGAGGCTGCTCTGAAGAGGCTGTGCATGGTAGGCGGCCGGGCACTCCAAGGTTGGAGACCTTGAAAGTGGGCCTTCTGACTCAGGCTGCTTCCTCTAAGCGCAGCAACATTGTGCATTCTGATCTCCCCACAGCCTTTGCAACCCATGCTCTGCAGGAACCCCAGGCCCATACCCCCTCAACATCTTTCCCCTTCCCTGTCATCAGAGACCTCCCAATACAGACACATGGAGGGCTGGCTGTGCCCAGAGGCCAGGGAACTTGGGGTTGGAATCTCAACGGTGTTGGAGAATAAGCTGTAAGAGGAGGCATAGGGGCTGGAGAAACAGTTCAGTGGTTAGGAGCACTGTCTGTTCCTCCAAAGGACCTGGGTTCAATTCCCAGCACCCACATGGCAACTCACGACTGTCCATAACCCCAGTTCCAAGGGTTCTGACACCTTTATACTAATGCACATGAAATTAAAAAAAAAAAAAAAAAGAGGAGGCATCATAGGAGAAGAGGAAGGCACCTCTGAGCCAGCCCCACTATTGCCATGCTTACTCCGGCAGTGGGGCCTAGCCTAGCAGCACTCGGCCCCATTTGGATGTGCTCTGAAGCTTGGGTAGAGCGTAGAGCGGGAGAGCTGCTGTGGGTCTGGGTCACTGGATCTCCTGAGGCATGGGTCTTTCCCCACTTCCCTGTCCTCTCCCAGAGCCACCCGCAACAGCTGGGTCCGAGAGACAGTCGCCTTGGAGCTGAGTTATGTCAACTCCAACCTGCAGCTGCTGAAAGAGGAGCTGGCGGAGCTGAGCAGCAGCATAGATGTGGACCAGCCAGAGGGGTGTGAGACCCCAGGCGGGGCATGCACACCCGTGTGGAGGGGACACCTGGGTGATGGGAGCCTCGGGACGGGACTCCAGGCCCCCTCTATGGGCAGTGGGTCTAGAGCCCATTCTTCTGGTTCTAGTGAAAGTGTTACTATTCCCATGATCCCCCTGGGCCTGAAGGAAACCACGGAGTTGGACTGGGCCACACCCCTGAAGGTAAATGCTGGCCTGTCAACCTTGAGGGGAGTGGCCCTGAAGTGGGCTGAGGGGGATTAGATGCTTCCTAATGTAATCATCTCACTGAACAAATGAGGAAGCTGGGGCAGAGCGGGGAGGAAGGACTGGCTCTGCCATCCTGCTTCCTAATTCTTCTGGTCCTCACAACCCAGGCTAAGGGGCATAGGAACGTTTGGATTGGGACCCTGCCCCAGAATGACTATGACCATGATGAATGACTATTCTGGGTGGCCCAGAATGACCACCAGGTTCCAGGATCCCCTGTACAGGGTCCCCTGGCTCAGGGACATCCCCCATCTAGTACCTATTCTTTGAAGGACCCAGAGAAGGTTCAGACCCCAGAACAGGCCATGTCCCTTCTTCTAGAGCCTGTAGGGCCCCATGGGAAAGTGACATGACCTTATGACTAAGTGTCTGAGCCTCCAAGGTGGCAGATGAGTGAATGTGTGTAAAAATGGTACCTACAAGAATCCTGGCCCAGTTCTGTATTAGGAACCCAGGGCTTGGGGACCAGAACACCAGCATCCACCAATGTCCCCACCCTCCTCTCCCGGGTCTTCAGCCCTTCTCCTTGGCCCCTCCCAACCCTAGAGCAGGCTGCCAGGCATAGAGGGCCCCAAGGGCACTACCTGTTCTCCCATCAGGAGCTGATCTCTGAGCACTTTGGAGAAGATGGTTCCTCCTATGAGACAGAGATCCAGGAACTAGAGGACCTACGGCAGGTGGGTGGGCTGCTCCCCCTCTTGTCGCTCCAGAGACAGAAGAGGAAGACAGAAGGTTGGATCCCAGTGTAGGGGTTCACAGGGAATCCCCACATGCTGGGAGGAAATCTGGGAGATGGGCATGGCCAGTGTTCACAGAAGGACCTGGGACTCCATTCTGTCCATGCTCTGTTGCTCTGGGAAGTGGCGGGGCCTGTCCCTTCCTCCGGGCAGTGTACTGTTTACTTGGCCTCTTGTGCCAGGCTGCCCTCAGAGTCCCTAGGATAGCAAATGCTCCTTGGGGACGGTGCCCACGCTGTTCCAAGGGTGCATCATGATGGTGGGTCTTAGAACCGGGCCCAGTCAGACTCTCCCTTGTAGGCCACGAGGACTCCCAGCCGAGACGAGGTAGGCCTGGATCTGCTTGCAGCCTACTATAGCCAGCTCTGTTTCCTGGATGCACGTTTCTTCAGTCCCGCCCGGAGCCCAGGGCTGCTCTTCCACTGGTAGGGGCTAGCAGCAGATGTGGAGGCCCTGGGATGGGAGAGGCCAGGTTGTTATGGGACCCATACCCACCCTGACACCATGCCACAGGTACGACTCGCTCACGGGGGTCCCGGCACAGCAGCGGGCTCTGGCCTTCGAGAAGGGCAGTGTACTGTTTAACATTGGGGCACTCCACACGCAGATCGGAGCGCGGCAGGACTGCGCCTGCGCCGAGGGCGCCACCCATGCCACTGAGGCTTTCCAGAGGGCTGCTGGTGAGGGCAGTAGACCATAGCAAGAGGGGTATGGCGCCCATCTCTGTGGCAGGAACTAACTAGGGTTGGTGGACATGGCCTCACTGTATGAGAAACCGCACATAAACCCTTCGGTGGAAAGTTTAGAAAGCAGACTTGGTGGGCATGGGAAATTCCTGCCCGTGTGAGTTCTCTATTCATCTCCAGGGGCTTTCAGACTCCTGAGAGAGAACTTCTCCCATGCACCGAGCCCAGACATGAGTGCCGCCTCCCTCTCCATGCTGGAGAAGCTCATGGTTGCCCAGGCACAGGAGTGCATCTTCAAAGGCTTCCTGCTGTCAGCCTCTGCAACACCTGACAACGGTCTGGCTCAGCTGCAGTTGGCTCAGGAAGCTGCCCAGGTGAGGCCAAGGAGCCCTGCCCTTGAGTGGAACCAGGGCCGGGTTGGGTTGCAGCCAGGTCAGGCAAGGATGGGCAGCCCCCAATGAGGCAGCCACATCTAGTGCTCTGTGTCGCTGTGTCACTCCTTAAAGCCGGTGGCTGTCCTGGTTCTCGAGGTCCTGAGAACAGGGACTGAGGCCTCTGATGCCTCTGATGCCCAGGTCTGGCTCAGTTTGGAGTCTAGGGAGAGGCTTGTGGAATGTGGGCAGAGTAGATGGAGATTGAGCCTAGGGTGCATAGGCCAGGAACTTAAGCTGTGTACCTGGGGCTGACTGGCCTTATCCCTAGAGCTCCCTGGGCCCAAGGAAAGGCAGAAGCTCCATTTGCACCCCATTGCCTGTTGGCAGGTGTCAGCTGAGTATGGCCTTGTGCACCGGGCCATGGCCCAGCCGCCTGTCAGAGACTACCTGCCCACCTCCTGGACTAACCTGGCACGTGTCAAGGCTGAGCACTTCTGCGCCCTGGCCCACTATCACACAGCCATGGCCCTCTGCGAAAGCTCCTGTGAGTGTCACCAACCCCACATGCCCATGTGTACCCGCAAAGGCTCCCTTCCTCCGGCTCATGGCCTCTCTGACCCCTCACAGCAGCCAAGGGAGAACTCTCAAGGCAGGAGCACGCCTCCCAGCCCTCAACTACCTGTGAGCCCCAAGGCCCCACGCTGCCGCAGCACCCGGAGGAACGCAGGAAACTTGGTGAGGCATCACAGACAGGGCCCTGGGCCAAATGTGGCAGGGTGCCCCCCATAGTCACTCAGCAGCTGATCACCCGGGGGTGCTAGAAACTGCTGAGAGCGGTTCTCGGGGGTGCTGGGTAGGTGGCAACATAGCGACATAGCTGGGGACACCTCTTCCCTTGCTCTACTGTTTGGCCTGGCAGAGTTTTCCAAATCTGGCCAACCATGTCTGACCCTGTGGCCCATTCCACTTCCTGATGCATCCTGAGACAGAGGGTCCGGGGCCCAGCCTGGAAGGGCCAGCAGGCGGAGAACCCTTTTGCTTGCGTGCGTGCGTGCATGACAGTGCTATGCCTGTGCACAGCCAAGGCCCACCTGAAGCGTGCCATCCTGGGCCAGGAGGAGGCGCTGCGGCTTCACACTCTGTGCAGAGTCCTGCGCCAGGTGGACCTGCTCCAGGTTGTGGTGACACAGGCCCTGCGGCACTCGCTGGCCAAGTACTCGGAGCTTGAGCGCGAGGATGACTTCTTCGAGGCTGTGGAGGCCCCCGACATCCAGCGTGAGCGCCCAGGGCCCTTTGGGATGAGTATGCTAGTCAGAGAGGCCAGCTGAGCCCCTGCAGAGGCGGTCAGCAAGGTTCGGCAGCACATGTCTGTGTTCCCAGCCCAGTACTAGGGAGGCTGGGTCAGGAGGGTAAGGTTGAAGGGCAGCATGGGTTGCAGAGTGAAACCCTGAAACTCTCTTTGGGTGGCCGGGGAGGCAGGCTTGGCTGCAGAGTGAAGCCTGCATCAGGCCAGCATCCCTGCCACCTCCTTCCCCACTTGACTCATACAAGGCAAGAGGGGACAGAGACACAGTGCCAGTTGGGGCTCCCTGGTCAATTCCTGGAAGCCTCTATCTATTCAGGGAGCTGGTACAGCCATGGCTGTCAGTAGGGACAGCTAGGCTTTAAAGACCCAGGAAAGGTACAGGCCACACACTCCTCTGAGTTGAGCCAAGACCCACTGGTGGAACTCTGGTTCCGGGAGGACCAAGGGACTGGAGTTCAGCTCCAATTCTCTCCCTCCTGCCCGGTCAGCCAAGACCCAGCAGGCACCAGAGGTGAAGATGCCCAGCCTGTCCCAGATGAAGGTGATCGACTTCTTCCATCGTCTGGTGAGCAGGCCGGTTCTTCCTCCCTGTCCCTCTTCCCTTTGCCCCCTCAGCTGTTCCTGCTCCAGGGTGCGTGAGCTAAGATGGGGTGCCAGACAGGTCAGGGCTCCTTGACCTGCCACTCAGCCAGGCCTCTATCACTTCCCTCCCCACCAGGGTCCCCTGTCTGTGTTCTCAACCAAGAACCGGTGGCAGCTGGTAGGACCGGTGCGCATGACCCGAGGAGAGGGTGGCTTCGGTTTTACCCTGAGGGGGGACTCCCCCGTCCTCATCGCTGCCGTCGTTCCCGGGGGCCAGGCTGAGGTAAAGCCCCCCCCAGGTCCCCCCCCCACCGTGCTGAGGTCCTAGACCGTCCTGGTGAACTGCTGTGACCTCACTGACCCGCCTTCTCCATAGTCTGCCGGCCTGAAGGAGGGTGACTACATCGCGTCGGTGAATGGGCATCCTTGCAAGTGGTGGAAGCACGTGGAGGTGGTGGCCCAGCTGAGGGGCACGGGCGAGGAAGGCGTGAGCCTGGAGGTCGTGTCCCTGCTGCCCGGCCCCGAACCACGCAGCACGGTGAACCCTTGTCCCGGGGAGAAGATTCCCAACCCTCTGCCCTCCCCAGCCCTGGTCCTCCCCCTGGGTACTCGGGAGGCCTCAGAGAGAAGGTGGGCAGGTGGCCTCGACTGGGGGGTAGCCACCTGTGACGGTGCCTCCACAGTGTGGCTACTGCCCTGCTCCAAGTGAAGCTTCCAGACTAATTTGTCCCCAGAACAGAAGCTTTTAAACCAGTCTGTTCCAGAGGTCACGTCCACCCAGCATGGTCACTCTGGGGGTTGGGTGGCAAGCAGCAGACAAGCAGCGCCACAGGGTCACTTCAAATGCCCCCAACACGTCCCTAACACACCCAGAGAGCCACCTCTTCCCTGGGTGGCCGCCGATAGAGCAGGCAGTGGCGGCTGACCATGTCCATCTCTGTCCTGGCTCCAGGGACCCCGACGTTCAGCACTGCTGTGGGGCCAGAGAGAGTGTGGTTTTGAGACACCGGTGTCTGCACGTGCCCGCCCCTGGCCCATCCTTGGCTGGAGCCGCAAGACCAGACAAAACAAACCCAGGAGCCACCCTGACCCCTGCACCAACAGGAACTGTGTCACCTGTCCCTGAGTTGGGCACCCTGTACCCCTGTGTGATCAGAGGGGGGCACCTTCCTGGGCACAGCACCCTGTAACCAGCTCCAGCCAGCCAGGGGTGCCTAGTGCATTCTGTCCCTCTGCTCTAGGGGACCATCAGGCTGCCCCCTACCGTGCTTCGAGCTAGAGATGTCTATTAAAAATGCTGGTCAGAGGAGGTGAGTCGGAGCCCAGTGCTGGGGCCGTGGCTACTTCACTCCAGCGGGAATATGTCTCAGTGCACTCTGGACACAGGGTTTACACGGTTGCCTCTCTGCCAAGGGCAGCAGGGATGGCGCTATCCTCCTGGCTCCTGCCATGCCCTGTCAACTCTGCTGCTGCCTGTCTCTATCCTCAAGTCCGGTTGCTTTGGGTGTGTATCCTCAGGGCCCTCCCCTGAATAGTAAGATTCTGCCTGATACACAGTAGCCCTTCTGGCCACCTGTCTCCCTTGCTGGTTAGTCGGTCTCTCTGTGTGAGGGTCCCAGCAAAAGCATTTTATCTGCAGCCCAGCTTTCAGACCAGCCTGATGCCCATTCCACCTGCTTTCGTGCAGGCCCTGGCAGGTCCCTCAGAAGGGTGGGCTTAGGCTCTGGATTCCAAAAGGACAGATTGGGGGCCACCATGTGGGAAGCAAGTCCTGAACTGTGCATGAAGCCATGAAGATGTTCTCCCTCAAAGTTCCTGAAAGGTTCTGTGGAAACAGAAAGGCTTCGAGTATCCCCGTGGTAGAGTATGAATGAAGACGGTGTGTGTGTGTGTGTGTGTGTGTGTGTGTGTGTGTTCCTGTTTAATCCCCAGAACTAGAAAAACAAACAAAATCAGATGGGGAACTTGCTCCCTGTGACCACCAGGGGGCAGCTGTCACCCACTCATGCAGCCCTAGGAAGCTGCAGCTCTTCCAACACCCATGAACCTGAGGAAGGGCCAGGAAAGAGGCAGCCGGCTCCTCCCTCGTTCCCTGCCCCCCACTCCGTAGTCAGCGCCCCACAGCCTTTCATCCTCCAGCCTCTGCTGAGGGGCTCCCAGTAGAGAGCACCTGAGCCCATGCTCTAGCTCTGCTCACACAGTGCAGGGCTCTGCTGTATTTCACCCCGTGCAGGCATCAGCACCACGGTCCAGCGGGTGCACTTAGGGCGTAAGCACGTGAGTCTGAAAGATCCAAGTGCAGCTTTTGCCCGAAGTTAGGAGAGGCTCCTAGGGGACCCAGATGTGTTCCTCATCATTCACCTGCCCTCCTGGGACAATCTCCAGCTCAGCAAGATGGTCAAGGTCACTTGGGCTCCTCGGCACTTGTTAATTTCATTAATCAAACCATGTGTCATGGAGGCCATTACACGATAATCAGGGATGACAAGGTTGGCAGCCCTTGTGGAGGATAGTGAATGTGGGACCCCCGGCCCACATTCAAGATGAAGAGGGCAGGAGCTGCCCCTCACGTCCTGCCCAGTGTTTCTAGGCCCCCTCGGCCTGTCTATACACTCTGCTGACCTCACCGAGGCTGGGCCTCCGCTCCTTGGCCCTTGCTAACTGAGCTCTCCACCTTAAGTCAGAAGACCACTGCCCAAAAGTTTCACCATTTTTAGGGGTCTCTCTCTTCAGGCTGTGCCTGTGCCACAGTGACTCCTCTCAGATGATGTCAGGCGCAGCTCTGTGTCACCGTGTCTGAGTGGGTCATCCCTGCACTCCCAAGAATGATATGAGTGTGCATGGAACACACAGTCCCTGGGCAGGCAGAGGTCCCTGGCTGAGGCCCAGCTGTCAAGATGGGAAAGCTCCCGGGACCAGGTTCCCTGGGGCTGGAGTTCTGTATAGGTGAGGACAGAGGGGTAAGGAAGCCCTACCTATCACTCTGTGGACTTTTTTTAGATGGCAACTGAGTGTAGGTAACACACACAGGCGCTGGGGGAGCCAGCTGGAGGGGCCCTGCATCTGAAGGGTCCTGGCCCTGATGTTAACAACACAGGCCAGATCCCCTCGCGGACCAGCTGATGAGCACCCCCACCAGGAGTGTGAGCAATCCTGGTTCTGGCCCATTTACCCTGGCATGTGTCTTCCTGCTCCCCCACCCACCCCCCCACAGTTCCCCAAACCTTCCTACCTAGCCTTCAGGGTCAATGTCCCTTCCTTAGGCAGCTCTGGCTTGGCCACACCCCTGCTCCAGACTGCAGCCGCTTCCGGCCCAGCCACATAATGCTTACTACTGTGGATCATAGGTGGACCCTGGGGTCATGATCAAGGAGCTGGCCAGCTGGCCAGTGAGGGCCCAGAATACCCGAGGAAAACACACGACATATGTCACACACACGTGCTGGCTGAGAGGAAAGAAGGGGGACCTGCCTGTCTCCTCATAGCCTCCGCAGACCCAGGGTCCATCGCCAGCAAACAGAACATAAGGCCGGTAGCAGTGGGGTGTCTGTGCGCAGCTACCGAGCCCGCACCCCAAGGCACCTCATACCACGTAGGAGGGTTTTATTTTCGGAGTGGCTCCCTGGGCAGGGGGCTGAAGCATGTATGTGCTGCGATCCCGTTTTGCTTTGCCAACAAAAAACTGCAGAGAGGGGAAAAGGCAAACTCCGTTTTGCTTGAATCAGCAGTGAGAGGCCTGGAGATTAATGTGGGAGAGGGAGGCGCAGGAGAGAGAGTGGGGGTGGGGATGGAGTGAGGGCGGGGGCGCGAGTGGAGTGGGGGTTTGGTGATGGATAGTCAAATAAAGATGGACAGGTGGAAGGAACCCTCAGCCTCAGGGCCTTCAGGGCCACCGCCTTCTAGGCCCCTCCTTTTGCATGTGTGCTTTGGGTCTGAGGCTGTGCCCAAGCCCAGCACCTCCACCTACCATGCCCACCCCCATACCCATCAATATTTTATTTTTGTTCCTCGTTCCCTCTGGCCAGGGATTTTTTTTAGTTCATCGGCAGGCATGGGAGCGAGGGACAGGAGCTCCCAGGCCAGGGAGATGGTTCTCCACCCCACCCCACCCCACCCCACCCCACCCCCGCCCATCTACTGTCATACACTGCATGGCTGGAGTGTCCAAGGAAGAGGGGCAAAGACGAAAGCCAGACACATGGCCTTCCTGATGGGGCACATGGGCCAGGAGCCCATAGTAGGGGGCTTAGTGGAGTTTCTGGCTGGGTCCTGGCTCTGAGTGGGGCATGATAACTGGTGTAGGACAGACGCAGGGGCAGGGCAACAGGGACTGGGGCTGCGACAGCCAAGCTAGTAGAAGGGACAGTTAGGTTTCGTTGTGTATGCCTCAGCATCTCAGAATAGGAAGAGAAAGCGAAAACCTGCCTCTAGCCTTGGAGGAGCCTGATAACTCTAGCCTTAGCCACTGTTAAGGCCTCTGGGAAGCCATGATCAGAGAGCAGCCATCACGCAGTGGTGGGTGGGACAACAAGATTTCTGGGACATTGGGAGCCCAGGACTCTGGTTCCCTCAGGGGTAGAGAGGCCGTTGGTCCTGTTCAGAGGGCAGAAGACACTGGCCAGGCCTTTTCCTGCTGTGGCTCAGGAAAAGGTCCTCTGAGCCACTGCACCCCTACAAGTCTCTCAGACTCACAGAAGTCACCAGCCCCCTCGCTGAGGTTCCTCCCTCTCAGCTCTGAGTAGGTGAGGGGGCGGGGCCGAAGCAGAGCACCTCCGTGTCCACAGCATGCTGCTCCTCTGTGACTCTGTGACCAACAGAACAGGGACAGAGGGGCCCCAACCCTGCCCCTGTCCACCCCTAAAGCCTGTGTCCCATTCTCCAGCCCCCCCCAACACCCCCACACACCAGGCTATAGTAGTGTTCTGGTCCCCTGAGGCCCCAGCACTGCCCTACTAGGAACACATTTCCTTGTCACTCCCCTTTTCTGTGTCCCCAACTTCGTCACCCTCACACTTCCCTTCTCCTCCTCCAACTACTATGCTGATTGTTTTTGTCAAGTCAAGCCAGGGGTGGGATCCAGGCACATGCCTGTGATCCCAGCACTCAGGGAGGCAGAGGCAGGGGAATCACTGTGAATTTGAGGCCAGCCTGGTCCACAAAGTGAGTCCAAGACAGACAAGGCTACACAGAGAAACCTTGTCTCAGAATTTTATTTTTATTTTTATTTTGTCAACTTGACACAAATTAGAATCACCTGGAGAAAAAGGAACCCCATCAAGGAATTGCCTCCATCAGATTGGCCTGTGGGCCAGTCTGTAGGGGGCATTTTCTTGATTGACCTTTGGTGTGGAGGAGCCAGCTCACTGTAGGTGGTGCCTTCCTGGCACAGGTGGTCCTAGGTAGGAAGAAAAAAAAAAAAGCAAGCTGAGCAAGCCCTGGAGAGCAAGCCAGCATGCTTCTGCCAGGCTCCTATCAGCCTGACCTCACCCCCCAATCACTGGCCTACCACCACCGTCACCATCTCTGTTGCTGAAATGTCTGGTCTGGGCCTGGGCAACCATGAGCTATGACTCCAGGAAATGGGGTAGGGTTGCTAGTGGGACCTATGGGTGCTGGTATGCAAGTAAGTGGACACCAAGGAAATGAAGCAGATGCTGGGTGTGGTCTCTGGCTGGAGGGAAGGGCCAACGTCACCTGAAGCCCAGAGGAAAGTAACAGGCCAGAGAAGAGGGGAGGACAGCATGGAGACCCCAGGGAGAAGTCTGGGAGCGCCTAGAGGAGGAAGTCAAGGTGGGCTGGAAAGTGGTTAGGGCTGGTTGCAGAGCCTTGGATTGAGAAGGCAGCCCCCTGTGTGAGGTTGGGTTGTGGACTTCAGGCTTGGGGCGTGGGGAAGCTGAGCAAGAGGCCCCAGTCTGAGGTCCCATCCTTCCTGGAGTTAGTCTGCTCCCCTCACAACCGAGTCTCTGAGCTTACCTGTCATCCCAGGAGCCCTAAGAGGCCTGTGGCCAAGAAGGGGTCCACAGCAGCCTGGACTGGCTGCTGCTCTATGTGTCCACCTCGGGGTGGCCCAGGCCCCATGCCCATGCATAATGCAGTATTTACCTGCGGGGTGATTGGCAGCCACTCTGACTTCCCCTCCCCCGCAGCCCCAGCCGTTGAGCCAGACGTGCATTAAGGCGGGGAGTGACTTATCGAGCTGTCAGGGGGAGCGTTTTAAGACAGAATTATAGGGGAGAGGAAAAAGATTTTTACCAAATTAATGAAAAATCAATCTGGCCTCAAAAATCCATTAGCCCTCATAATGCGCCTGTTCCAGGCTGAGCCGCACAGTCCAATATCGGCTGTTAAATACCGCAGTGGCTCC